AATGCCCACTAGATTTGGTACCCTACTTGTTGTCAGTGAGCATGAAGTAAAGACAAAGCAAGGAGCTCATTCTTTCAGGATGTCTTACTATAGAGCAGAGAAAAAAGGTACAGAAACTAAAAGGGAAGAATTTTTTCTGACCTGGGTGATCCTGGACCATTTATACTGATTGTAATAGTTGAGAAAAAGTGTAGAGTGTACATACTCTACTCTACTTCCAGTGTACAGGCAGAGAGAAAGTGTAGAGTATACATACTCTACTTATCTTCCATACTATACTCTACACTACTGTAGAGTGTAGAGTGTATAGGCAGAGAGAACAAATTTTCTCTTTCTCAGCCTTTGGTTCTATTCAAGCCTTTAATAGATTGGATGAGGCCCACCCACTTTGGGGAAGGCAATCTGATTTGCTCATGTTACTGATTATAATATTAATTTCATCCAGACACACACTCTAATGGACACAGCTAAAATAATATTTAGCCAAATATTTAGACATCCTGAGGTTCGGTCAAGATGACATATAAAAGTAGCACCAAATCTAGTTTATGTTCATGCTCTTAGGGCCACAGTGTGAAAAGGGTCTTAGCTGAAACTATCTGCATAGATCTGGGGAAGTGCTGGAATACAGGTATATACCCAGCAAGCCCTTATTGAGACAAATCATTAGTAAGGAACAAAAATGTTACATTTAAAAACATGGTGTAGGCCAGACACTGTCCTGTGGCTTACACCTGTAATCCTACCACTCTGGTAGAAGTAGGGGGATCCCTTGAGGTCAAGAGCTCTAGACCATCCTGAACAAGAGCTCACAGCAACCTCGAGCTCTTGGGCTCAAGTGATCTTCCTGCCTCAGCCTCCTGAGGAGCTGAGACTGCAGTCTGCACCACAATACCTGACTACTTTTTCTATTTTCAGTAAAGATGGGGTCTTGCTCCTAAGCAAGTGACATCTTATCACGTTAGTTGCTAACGTTGTGCTCTCCAAAGTATAGATATGGGTATTTTAAAAGGTGGGTTTTTGCAAGGGAGAGAGAGATGAAAAACTTACAAAGAACATTGAACCTCTGCAGAGGTAAGGAAAGAATGAGAGAAGAGAGACTGTTTTTCTTGGAACAATCCAGCAAGGGAATCAGAGAAGAGGCTGAGAAGGACAGACCTAATCCCATTGACTCTAGATCCAAGAACTTTGATCATTGTGACATCACTGAAATAGCTAATAAAAAGCTTGAAATAAAAGCATGATTTGTGAACATTGAGGAACAGCAGGATATTATTATACATTATTCCATAAACTACTAATTTCTATGAAAGCAGGTTGTGTTAGATTAGAAACTATGAAGAAATCTAAGGATATGGGGATAAAGAGAGGAAGTAAACACATATTTGCCATCAATGTATAAACAGGCCTATGAAGATTTATTAGCAGGAGGCCATGGATTTTCACAGCCACCCTGAAATGGAGAAATTGTGTAAAATAATATCTGGACTGATTCAATATGAAATTTCCAGGATTCTTATAGCCAAACTCACAGAAATACATTTAGCTAATAACCAACCTAAATGAACTTTGGAAATAATGCAAACAAAAGGCAAGACAAAGTATCTGGCCACCATGTTTAAAATGGTAATCATAAGAGAAATAATACGGAATTAGTCCAAGTGGAGGGAGCGAGGAGAGTGGTTGTGTGATGGCCTCTCGGAAACCGTAGCACTTGCAGCATGGCTGACCAATTGACTGAAGAGCAGATTGCAGAATTCAAAGAAGCTTTTTCACTATTTGACAAGGATGGTGGTGGAACTATAACAACAAAGGAATTGGGAACTGTAATGAGGTCTCTTGGAAAGAATCCCACAGAAGCAGAGTTACAGGACATGATTAATGAAGTAGATGCTGATGGTAATGGCACAATTGATTTCCCTGAATTTCTGACAATGATGGCAAGAAAAATGAAAGACACAGACAGTGAAGAAGAAATTAAAGAAGCATTCCGTGTGTTTGATAAGGATGGCAATGGCTATATCAGTGCAACAGAGCTTCGCCATGTGATGACAAACCTCGGAGAGAAGTTAACAGATGAAGAGGTTGACGAAATGATCAGGGAAGCAGATATTGATGGTGATGGTCAAGTAAACTATGAAGAGTTTGTACAAATGATGACAGCAAAGTGAACACATTGTACAGAATGTGTTAAATTTCTTGTACAAAATTGTTTATTTGCCTTTTCTTTGTTCGTAACTTATCTGTAAAAGGTTTCTCACTACTGTCAAAAAAATATGCATGTATAGTAATTAGGACTTCATTCCTCCATGTTTTCTTCCCTTATCCTTATCTTACTGTCAGTGTCCTGAAACCTTATTTTAGAAAATTGATCAAGTAACATGTTGCATGTGGCTTACTCTGGATATATCTAAGCCCTTCTGCAAATCTAAACTTAGATGGAGTTGGTCAAATGAGGGAACATCTGGGTTATGCCTTTTTTTAAAGTAGCTTTTTTTTAGGAACTGTCAACATGTTGTTGTTGAAGTGTGGAGTTGTAACTCTGCGTGGACTATGTACAGTCAACAATAGGTACTTAAAAGTTACACTGTTGCAAAACAGGTGTATTATCCAGGTACTTGTACACTATTTTTTTTGTACTGCTGGTCCTGTACCAGAAATATTTTCTTTATTGTTACTTGCTTTTAAATTTTGTTTAGCCACTTAAAGAAAATCTGCTTATGGCACAATTTGCCTCAAATCCATTCCAAGTTGTATATTTGTTTTCCAATAAAAAAATTATAATTTAAAAAAAGAGAGAGAAATAATACTTACTGCTATTATTTTTATTATTACTACAATTTTTATTATTTTATTTATTTAGTACTTCTATGTTTTATTTATTTAGTACTACTATACTTTATAATTCACTCACAATAATCCTACAAGATAATAATTATTATTCCCATATAGGAAATTTAATGTTTAAATAAATATGTAAGTTAACTTAGCCTAGACCCAATAATGTGTAAATAAATGCCTTTGGAATTCATTCTAGGTTTTTATGCTCCAAAGACTGAGTCTCCCACTATATCACCAAAATTCACTTGCATGAATTAAAGCATTAAAAAATTAAAATTATACTATTAAACAAAAAATAACTATTCATCAGTTATTAGGACATTCTAGTCATCATGCTTAGAGGAAAAAAGAAAGTGAATCTAGAAAAGGTCTAGGGCAAAGCTAAAGTGATGAGGGTTAAATGTTATTTTATAAAGTATACTGCAAAAGAGTTCTCTTAACTCACAGAACACTGACCCAACATCCTATGATGTTCATGAAGGCGGACCACCTTTAGAATTCTATGTTTATGGAAAATTGAATGAGAGAGGGTAAATTCAAAGAAAAAAGGGGGATAAAGTCGGGATGGCTAATAGGTAAAAAAAAAAAAACACACACAGAATGAACAATATTAGCTCAACAAAATGACTATAATCAACAATAAGGGTACACTTTAAAATAACTAAATCAGTGGAATAGGAATTTTCCTAACAAAAAGAAATTATAAATGCTTGACGTGATGGATATTCCAATTACCCTGGTTTGATTAATACACATTGTAATACCTGTATCAAAACATCACATGTACCCTGTAAATACATGTATCCACAGCTGTCATGCACCCTTAATAATTAAAAATAAAATAATTTTTTTAAAAAAGAAAATATATTGCAAGGGAGGAGTGGTCTTTCAAAATATTATAACTGACAAGTAGCTAGAGTATGGATATTATAAAGAAGACATGATCTCAATTAGAAACACCAGAGGATGAGAAGGTAGAGGTAAAAATAGACAAATTCTTCCCTTCTTTTCATCCATATCCTTGCAATACAGCAGTGCAAATCCTCCCATGAAGATTTCAAGGCTATTTTCTTATCCCTTGAATATGGGCGGGGGGGTGGGGGGTGGGGCGGCGGTCTATGCAATTTGTTTAGGCCAATGGGACACTAGCACACATGTCTCAGTAGAGGTTTGAAAAACATTTGTGAATTAAAGGAGAATCAAGAATGTGCCAAATTCCAGATACAAGACCGAGGATATCCTAACAACTCATCTAACTCTAGATACTTCACCAGCTGACTACAGTTGCATGAGAGAATCTGGCAGAGAAGAGCTGAGCAGTACCAGACCAGAGGAACCATGCATAGGACCCAAAAAGTTGTAGGAAAAAAAAAAGAAAAGTGGTTGTTTGAAGTCATTACATTGGGGGTAGAGGCACCATTACACAGCAAAAGCTACTAAAATCAGGTGACAAAAAAATGAAGTGACAGGCTAAATGAATGTTCTATGCCTACTTTAAAAGAGCTAATTGGTTCTATGGCCTGAGAATTTTGTCCTTTAACCATCTAAAGAAACAGAATTGGGGTGATTGGAGGGAGGAGGGAGGGCAATTGGCAGAATCTCACCTTATGTACACTATGTTCAGCATGCCTCCTGGGTGAAGGGCTCAACTACAATTTTACCTTGGGATGAGAACAATGTAACCCAAAAATCTGTATCCTCATATAAACTTAAAATAAAAAACATTTTGTACAAAATAATAAATGAAAGAAAAAGAATTGGAATAAATATGTAAGCATTTATTTCAGTTCCTATTATTTAGGAACTAAAATATATTTATATGTAAATCATCTACTCCTGTCTGGTCAATATACATGTGAGGGAGCTGAAACTAAGAGAGGAGGCTATAATTTGGCCAAGGTTACAGCGTCCTCCCGACCAAACCAGAACTATCTGTCACATCCTCCTGTCCCAGTTCCAGGCATTTTACTTACTAACCTTCTTGGGACCTTGACCAGTCCCAAGATTCTATGGCTCTGTGACATTACGATTTGATAATTCCAAGAGAAGAACAACAATGCCAGTGATCCAGACAGCCTCAGCACAGGAAAACAACATAGTGTAGACTGAAGTACCAACTAAATGATTTTCTTTTATTTCAAAATATCAACTATGCCACCATGGATTCAAGCACTGCCCACAGTCCTGTGTTTCTGGTATTCCCTCCAGAGATCATGGCTCCTGAATCTGAGTCAACAGAATTTTCAGGCATGACCTTTGGGAATCAAAACACCCTGCAAAAATTAGTTTCTTCAAAAATGAAAATCATTGGGGTAAGTAAGACTTGCCCCTATGTGTATTCTACTGAGGCACGGGAAAGGATAGGGAAAAGTGTCTGGTGGCACATGTTTTAAGGTTTATGCCAATTCCAATTTTTATTTCTTTTCAATTCAGGGAGTATGGATCACATTTATATATGATTTATATACATATTTTGTGATTTATATATAAGATTTATATATAAGATCTTGGAGAAGAAAACCCCATACTGTACCCCAGAAGTGCATTAATGTACATAGTTACCATTCAATTTAAAAAAAAAAAGATCTTGGAGAGGAACATCCAAGATGCATAAGCCAAGTTGCCGGGGTTCTTGAAGGTCACAGTCCCTAAACTGACTACTTGTGAGGTTTACAAGTCAAGTTCAGAGGAAAAAAAAAAGAAAATTAAGTAGAAGTCAATAGATCAGATTCTGTATCCTAGATTTTTATGTTCCAGAGTTTTATATTTCCCAAATCAAAAGTCAGCATCAGAGTTTGACAACATAACATATTGTGTGTGGGACTTTTAGAGAACATCCACCTAATAACTTAAGTGCTCATCTTTTTATCCATATAACTATCCATTCCATAAATATTAATTCTCTTTTATTTACCACTTCTTATGTAAGACAATGTGGGGGTTAAGTATGTTGGAGGCTGTAATACTGCCTACATCCTTGAAAATATTTTCCCATTCAATCCCCAGACCTTAAAAATAGAAACTTTTTAAAAAAAATTATCTTTCCATTCTTGAGATACTTTACGAAGAATGTGTTCCAACTCTATCAAAGTAAACAAAAAAGATGTAATGTCTCCATCATTTTTTATGGCAGAATAGTATTCCATGGTATACATTATGAAACCAATATATAAAAACTCACATATTCATACAAATGATAATACACAAATTTAGTCTACCAAGGGGGAGCAGTGAGGGGGGAGAGGAAAGGGAAGGGAGAGGGCAATTTGTGGAATGTGAGAGGGTATTTGGTGTAATCTCACCTAATGTGCACAATGCGAGGGTATATTTCAAAATAATAGTAAATTTTATTTTTTGTTTATTAAATTATAACTGTATACATTGATGCACTTATGGGGTACAGTGTACTTATTTAATATACAATGTGAAATGCTTACATCGAACTGATAAACACATCCATCACCTCGCTTACTTATATGTTGTGGTAAGACAATTATACTCTTAAGAGTTTTGAAATATACCATTGCATTAACACATTAGGTGAGGTCCCACCAAATACCCTTCCACATCCCAGCCTCCCCTGTCCCCTCCCCTCTCCCTACTCTTCCCTCCTACTTCCTGGACTATAGTTATGATTTACCATTCATATGAATGCATAGGTGATTATATAGTGATTTCATAGTAGCATTAAGTATATTGGATACTTTTATTTTTACATTCTTGAGATACTTTACTAATAAGAATATTTTCCAGCTACATCTAGATACATATAAAAGATGTGAAGTCTCCATCTTTTTATGGCTGCAAAGTATTCCATAGTGTACATATACCATAATTTGTTAATCCATTCATAGGTCGATGGGCACTTGGGCTGTTTCCATGACTTGGCAATTATGAATTGGGCTGCAATAAACATTCTGGTGCAAATGTCTTTGTTGTAAAATGATTTATGGTCATGTGGGTATATACCTATAAAGGAATTGCAGGATCAAACAGTAGGCTTACTTTTAGTTCCTTGAGTATTCTCCAAACTTCTTTCAAAAAAAATTAGCTTGTATTCCCATGAGCAAAGTAGAAGTGTTCCCTTCTTTCTGCATCCACACCAACATCTGTAGTTGTGGTATTTTGTTATGTGGCCTAATCTTACTGGACTTAGATGATATCTCAAAGTGGTTTTTTTTTTTTTTTTTTT